CTAAAATGGAATTTTGGAACTACTAGCAACATTGCTAATCACAAAAAAAATCGTTACAGAAAACTATTACTTGTAACTAGTTCCTTCCAAGTACCAGCATTACAGATCTAAATTGGGGGTGGGGGGGGGGATGTAAATTTTCACTTGTTTCATGCTCACATAACAGAGCCACAAAATTATGCTCATCCCTAGAGATGTGCATGGTAAAACCTTTTGTTTTTGTTTCATTTTGGACTTTTAAAAAATGTTGTTCCTCTTTTGTGTCCATATCTTTCATGCACTGGGCTTTCATTTAAGATGAAAGAGACCACTTTTTAAAGGTTACTTTGCTTTGATTTTTTCCCCCATTCATGTTCTATTTGGCATTTGTTCAAAAGCTCTATGGAACCTTGAAAACTACTCCAGAAAAGCAGAGACAAGGCAACAGACAATCAGCGTACTCCAGAAGCAAGCAACAATGCAACCAACCACCAGCAATAGTATTAAACAAAGAACACACCCCAGAATATAAACCTTCATCAGAGTAAACACACACAGTAAATTAACCAAATAACCATTTAAAAAAATCTATCAAACAGGGAAAGCACTCCTTCCCACTGAGAAACACATAGCAAACTAAAATGAACACACATGGCCCCCCAAACCAAGAAAAGCATTCAAGAAAGTAAAGACAAAAATGTAAGTCACCTCCTTCAAATAAAAATGACTAGAATATGGGGAGATTTATATCTCCTCTGTGGCTTGACGCCTTCCTTCTCTTCTGTTCTTTGAGTCCAGTACAGCAGCAAGTAGGTGGCAAAAATAATGCAAGAAAGGGGAAATAAAAATGAAACAAAACAAAATAAAAGGATAACTCCCAAGGGGTTAAGGGGAAAAAGAAGGGATCCAGAATAGACCAAGGTATAGGCAGGTGAACAAGCAATACAAAATGGAGATGCTAAGAGTTTGCACATCACGAGGAATGAGTGAAACAAAAGAACACACTCATTGGATACTGACTAATCCAGACCCGTTCACAGCTTCGAAATTCTAGCCCCCTGCCCCCAGTGTTCTTATTAGGTGTTGACAGCAGCGTTTGCAATACTATTGGATAGAAAGTTTCCCAGGCCATTTGACAAATAAGGAGTAGAAGAATGGGTAAATGAAACAGGAAAACCAAAACATTTGGGTCCCTCTCTTTTGTTAACAATTTTGTTTATGTTTTAGAGGCCCTCTTTTGGAAATTAACAAAAGAACAAAACAGCAAGTAAAACTCTCTACAGTGGGGTCTTGACTTAAGAACGGCTTGAGTTAAGAACATTTTGACTTAAGAACCACTCTCATAGGAAAATATTGACTTGACTTACATACTTAGATTTGAGTTAAGAACTGAAAAAAACCATGTGGGAGGCAGGGAAAGTGCAAAATTTGAACTTTCATTTAACTGTTGGCCAGTGAAAAGGGTGCCTCACTCCTCCCAGTGTTTAGAGAGTGGATTGGGAGACAGTCTTCAGACTGCCTGGTACTGTACTGCCTGGACTGTATTTTCCCTGCCTTCCCTGAACCTTTCTTGACCTAAGAAAAAAAGAAACAAAATATCCCCCTGTAGTGGTTGAAGGCGGAATAGCAGCTTCCCATTAATTTCTCTGGACAGAAAAGAGCAGATACGGATCAAATGGTTTTCAATGCATTCCTATGGGAAATGCAGATTTGACCTGAGAACTTTTTGACTTGAGAACCACCTTCCAATACGGATTAAGTTCTCAAGTCAAGACCCCACTGTATTGTGTTTTAAAAATAATTTGCTTTAAATTGAAAATCCTATCCCTGTTTCTCACCATACAAAACGCAAGCTAAAAGATAATGAGAACATTTTTTTTGCACAAATTAGGTGAAATTTTGCAAACAATGTAAAAGAATGACAGCTGTTTCTTTGCGATGGGGACTTTTGTTTTACAAAGAACATTACAATGAACGTAATAAAATTTCTAAAACAACAGCAAGTAACTGATAATGTAAGATAAAACTATCAGTGGAAATCTGTATACATTGTTACAAATACGTTTCTAAGACATGGCAATTATATTTTTAGTAAATAGGTACTGTAAATAAAGAGCTGATTTAATTTAATTTGTCTTTTTTTAATTTGCCACATGCTTGAGGAAGCGTCGGAGGGTTGTTTGTGCCTTTTAAAAAGCACAACCAGACCTTCATTTAGTGTGTGCTCCGTGGGTGTATGTATGTTTGTGCCTCTGTGTGTGCCTTTCTTCTCAAAGTGAAATGATATTTTGTACAAGTTAGTTAAGGTTAAGGTTCCCCTTGACAATTTTTGTCCAGTCGTGTTCGACTCTAGGGGGTGGTGCTCATCCCCGTTTCCAAGCCATAGAGCCAGCATTTTGTCCGAAGACAATCTTCCATGGTCACATGGCCAGTGCAACTTAGACACGGAACGCTGCTACCTTCCCACCGAAGTGGTCCCTATTTATCTACTTGCATTTGCATGCTTTCGAACCGCTAGGTTGGCGGGAGCTGGGACAAGCGACGGGCGCTCACTCCGTTGCGTGGATTCGATCTTACGACTGCTTGGTATTCTGACCCTGCAGCACAGGCTTCTGCGGTTTAGCCCGCCACCATTTGTGTACAAGTACACAAATGTACTTTTACAAGTACATTTGTGCAAATCATAGAGACCTTGATAAAGAAAGATAGAGCTCCTTGTCTGGCTTTCTTCTGAAAGCAAGCAATCTCATTGAGTTTGAAAATTCCCAGTGACTTCACTCGGACTCAAGTTTTTTTAACCCCCTATGATGCAGACCCAGCTTGCAACTCAGAACTTACCCATGGCCTCCCTTTTTTTCTGGGGAAAATAGCTTGTTTTTAATAGGGACTCAGATGGGACTTGGTACCAAAGACTTGGACTTGGGACTCCAAGACTTGGCAACATCCCTGAAAATTCCTCATTAAAGTATCTTGAGTCGAGACAACGTAAATCCACCAGAACAAAATAATTTAGTGAATGTTCTTTACAATCTTCAGTCTCTACAGATGCATGCATACACTTGAGACTGTTGCTTGAACCTTTTGGTTCTTCTTCCACAGGACCCTTTAAATTCTGGGGATGATGTCAGTGAGCAGGAGACGCCAGATGTGTTTGACACTGATAACATAATTGTATGCCAGTATGACAAGGTATGGTACAGAATATTTGCCCCTTATTTACTTAGAAGCTGTTGCTACCACTCTTTCTTCTACTTAGAATGCCAGAGGAGTGTTTGGTCTATTGAAAATGTAGCAATAAAAGAACAATTAAACATGTTTATCCTTAAAAACATACACTAGTTGAAATGTCTGGGTGAAGAAAAACAGTTTATTAGCAGGGAAAATATTGTAGTATGGTGAACAAGGAGCTCTTTGATAAGGAAGGCAATCCATAGTGATGGCATCAGTAGCAAGAAATCAGTTTCTTTCATTGATAGGTACTAGACACATAAAAGCACCTGTAGAAGGTTCTTAACATACCTTATTGCTAGGCAGGATGTATTGGAACAGGTGCCAAGGTGAATGGCAGCACCTTGCCTTATATCTGGAAGCAAACAGGTGAGGCCCTTATACCCATGGCATAATACACATGAGTCTGATCCAGCAAAACCCAGGGCAACGTATTTTGTAGTATTTCAGGCTTTTAGGTCATCTTGAAATATATCCCTTATAGAGAAGGTATGAATAGTGAGCCTTCTTTTCTTCTCTGTTGATGGCCACATTTCCTCTGGAGAGCAGTCCATTGTTGGATAAGTGCAGACTCAAAAGGAGTTAATAGCAGCCCCCTTTCTTTCTTTTCAGAATCTATCTCTCTTTTCTCTTTTTAACTAGCGGGCTGAGACTTGAACTGATCATTTACCATCCATTTCTGAAATTAGGCCAAGGGCCTCATAAGATCAGGCGAAGGGCTGCAGGTTGCTCATCGTGAAATGATACATGGCAGTAAAAGACCATAGTTGACCACAACCGGGCTGTTCACAAGTGTAGTGCAAACTGTATACTTATATGTGTGTCAGGGAATGTTACAATATGAAACAATATAGTCTTTCAATGAGTTAATTTCTTTGGGTGTCCAGGCAAAAGTGTTTTGTTTTTATGATGTTAATATAGCATGGTGCAATCTTGACGAAACGAATCATGTTTACTTGTCAGCTTAAAACCTTTTGGTGGAATGATACGTTTTTAAAATGGTGATGATTGAACTGGTATCTGGCTCCAGAGCCCAACGTTGGGAGTTCGATCCCTCACTGGGCCTCCTTGAACAGGGGATGGTCTCAGTGATCCATCGGGTCCCTTCCAGCTCTGCAGTTCTAAGCTAGTTGTTGTTGTGTTGTTGTTATATCATCAGCCACAGATTGCTGACTTTAATTTAAAAATTCCTCCCACTCTCCCAGAGATCCCCTTTCAAGCTGGGTAAACCTTGGGGAGCTTCAGGACTTTTGGGGGTGGGGACCTTTAACATCTTAAAATTGCCACCAGCGGTCCCAAGACACGAAACTTTATATCACACCCATAGTTGATGACACTGTCACCATTTACAGTTGTGGAGTTGCAACGCAGGGGTTTAGCCATGATGTCTTAATGTTATTTGGGGTGGGGTAGATCTTCACCCTCCCCCTTTCAATTCTGTTTTTAAAACTTAAAAAATTACAGCAAAAAGCAACAGGTCGCCGAGGGATTATCAACATACTAAAAGGAAAGCATGCTGCTTATATACCATCCCGCAGCGCTTCAAGCACTCTCTGGGCGGTTGACAAGTTAATTATGCAGGCTACACATTGCCCCCTCCCCACCCTAGTGAGTTGGGTACTCATTTTACTGACCTTGGAAAGATAGAAGGCAGAGTCAAACTTGAGTTGGCTACTTGGGATTGAACCCCAGGTCATGAGCAGAGTTTTAGCTGTAGTACAGCAGTTTAATCATAGGGCCATGAGGCTCTACTACTAATGCCTTGCTAATGTGTCACTCTTAAAGCAAACAATAGCTTATTCTTTCTGTTAAAAACATTCAATAGCTACCATTCTTGGGTCCTCCCCCCCAAAAAAAGAAAAAAGAAAAAAGAGCCAACATCTGTGTTTGAGCGTAACCATGCCTAGGTGCTTCCAATTTTCATAGGTAAATACTGCTTCTCATACCTCTTTGTTAAAGAGAAGCAACTTTTCTTTTTGGTATGTTTTCTAATCAGTAAGATTGAAATAAACCAGTTTTTAAGAGATTTGCTGTTTGCTTTTTACCAGGTTCAGCGAAGTAAGAACAGATGGAAGTTCTATTTGAAAGACGGTGTGATGTGCTTTGGGGGAAAGGACTACGTTTTTTCCAAAGCCATCGGAGATGCAGAGTGGTGAAATGTATAAAAATATCTACGGTGTTATTGTTTGCTAGAAATGCACTATGTACTGTAAATGTTGAGTTAAGAGGGAATGAAAATTCTTGTGTTCTGAAGTGCAGAATGCATGAATAATCTTCACATGTGTAAAGTATGTGACTTAAAGACATAAATCTTATGTTAACAATGGCTTCATTACTGCCCCTGGACTCAGGTTTTTTGTGTGTGCGTGCAGGTGGTACATTTTGTTTTCAAACACAAGAACATCTTACTAGCTTGTGGAAGGGCCTCTTCAGGGCAGGTGGCTCTAGATGCTGAAGAAGATTTAGTTGAGGTCTTCTTCACTTGGATTGCCAAAGACAGAGAAATCATGGTGTTTGTGTGTGTGTGTGTGTTCATTTCTGACCCCCTCTCGAAGCCTGCTGTTGTTTTTTTCATGCACTTTCACTTCAGTGCATTGTTAGTTATTTATCTATGTCCAGTCACCTCTGATTTACTGCAACCCCCTGATTTAGTGACCTGCAAAAAGGGTCTATAATTAACAGCCCTGTTCTTATCCAACAAATTATAGGCTGTGGCTTCCTTCATTTAGTCAATCCCTCTCATGGTAAGTCGTCCTCTTTTTCTATCACCTTCCACTTTTCTTTTTCTGCTGAGTCTTGCCTTGTCATGATATGCCCAAAGTATGATAGCCTCTAGAACTCACTTATTTGTCCTTCTAGCAATCCACAGTATCCGAACACCGCGTTCTAAATGAGTCTCTCCCCCCCTTCTGCTTTCTTCATTGTCCGACTTCTACATCCATATATAGCAACTGAGATTACTGTAGTATAGATGTTCTTGTTTTATCTCCAGTGACACATCTTTAACTCTTTTGACATCTTTTCTAGTTTCTTCATAGCTGCCATTCCAGGCCTCAGTCTTCTGATTTCTTGACTGAAGGCTCCATTTTGCCGGATGATTTAATTGAGGAAAATTCTGAACAATTTTGGTTTCTTCATGGTCAACGTTACAATTATGTAGCTTGGTGGGTCACCCAGAAAATAAACTTAGCAGAAGTCAAGCAGGGAGGGCGAAGATCTACCCCTGCAAGCACACACATTTAGGGAAAGTAGTCCCAGGAAAATAATAAGAGCCATGTGCCATCAGACCGATGGCTGATCTAGTCCAGCATTTTCTACTAATGCAAGCATGGTGTGAGCAACCAATCTTTGAGAGATTTATTTCCTCTATCCTCGGAGGAAATACACAGCCACTGCAGTTTATAGCCCTTGATAGCCTTATTTAAAGCAAAGTGTTTATGTACCGTCCTATAGCACTTTAAAAACTTCCTGGGTGAGAGTTACAATTCAATTGTGCAGGCTACACATTGCTGCTCCCCCTCAGCAAGATAGGTACTCAATTTACTGACCTCAGAAGGATGGAAGGTTGAGTCAACCTCAGAATTGAGCACATCAGGGTTGAACTTGAGTCAGTGAGCAGAGTCTTGACAGCAGCGCTGCAGTTTAACCACTGCACCAGGAGGTTGCTTTAATTTGCCAAATTTCCTTTGAAAGTGATCCAGGTTGGTGACAATCACTGCATCTTGTGGCAACAAATGTCACAGTGCTGGACAAAAAAACTAATTGAGAGCTAGTGTGGTGTTACAGATAGTGTTGTTAGGCTCTGACTCATGAAACTTGGGTTCAAATCCCCTCTTGTCAGTGGAGACTGAGAAGGGGACAGCAGTGGTAAACCACTTCTTGAAAAATTCTCATATTTCAAAAAGCCTCTTAGAGTCACCATCAGTCAAAAGCAATTTGACATCAACAAAAAAGTGTTTCTCTGTGTTCTAAATCTCCCATCATTCAGCTTCCTTTCCCATTAAATAACTGAATTCTGAGTAACATCAGCTCTATGCTATTTGGATTTCTCTGCGTGTATGTGTTTTTCACTCGCCCACCTGAAACATCTGATTATCCAAATGCTTGACGTTTCCCAGGCTTTGATGGTTAGAGGGTGGTCACCACTGCAACCACTGAGATGCTATGTGTGTGGTCAGTAGCTGATCAGAAAAACTTATTGGCACCACAATGAGTCACATGACAGAGGAAGTTTTTGAAAGATAAGGCGTGGTGCAGCTCAGTGGGTTGGAGCACAGAATTATTAATTAGGCTGCTTGAATTCTGAAACCAGAGAGCAGGGTCAGGGTAAGAGGTCTTGCTGCCTGAGATGAAGGCCGTTGAGCCTTGTTTCAGCAGTGGGCAACAGAACTGGTTCTGCTACTGCAACTGCAGGCAGCAGGCTCAGTGTAAATGCAATTGAAAGAGGCTTTGGGAGCTGCTGGAGTGCCTGGGTCAGGGGTTCAAATCCCCACTGTGCCTCCCGAGTGTGTCGCCAACCGAAATCATCCTAAATGTGTACAGCTGATGGCATGACATGACATGCCACCTGAGTGGCCTTGGGAATCTGCATGGTCCCAGAGCAACCCTTGAAGGAGGGACTAATAAATGGCTTCTGAGTGCTTTGGACCAAAACAACAACAACCACAACACTGGGAGGATTACCAGTGTGTATACATATTTAAAGGATATTTATTTTGTGCTGCAGCAAAGGGTCCCAAAGTGGCTTTCACGAGATCAGTGAAATCAAGACAGTTGTTCCCAACAGACTTGAAGTCTTAAAGGCATGACACAAAAGGAAAAAAGGCTGAGTACAGAGAAAGAAAACACACAGACACTGGTAATTAATTTTCAGATAAATATGCCAAATAATAATAAAAATTTAAGAAAAGAGCTACTAAGATGTGGAAGCTATCTGGTCAGTTGATCTGTGTGCCAGGTGTGATATTTGCTACCTGTACAGAAGCTGTGGTCATGTGCTTACCTGAATGAATTCCTAGCACTCGGGGGAAATTTTGACACCAGAGTAACTTGTCTGGTGAGGCTGAGGGAGGCAGATGAGAGAGGAAGGGGTCATCCCATCTGCTGTATGACTCTTATTTCCAGCCATGGACTCCATGAAATGGAAAGGACACCTTTCTAGGTTGACAAACAGATATCCTCTCATACAAAACTTAGGCTGCCAGGAGGTGTGTGAGTTGTGATACTGTGAAGTTTGATTATAAAAAATGTTGACTATGAGGGCCCATCTACCCGGGTGCTTTTGGTGTTCACTGGTGTGGTCTAAATAGGATTGCTTGAGGTTGCAGGGGACAGACTGATATGCCATTTGGCACGATCCTCACATACAAACAGTATATTGGCCTATTTATTCAACCACTTCATGATACCACTTATTCAAACTGGCAGGTGCCTTTGCAGCTTTGATAGCTGAAAGATTCTATTTTGTTCCATGCCAACAATTGTACACACTGGAAATGGACTAAGCTAAAGTGCAGCAACCCACAACCAAAAAGTAGAAGGCCCCTGGCAGGGGCTCAAAAAGGTCCAGGTTGGGGTGCCCCAAGGGCAAATTGCAGCAACTGGTCCACTCTAGTAATTACATCAAGTAGTCATGGAAAAAAGAATGAACCAACCCACCCCTGCAACACCTCAACTAGTAGGACAAATGAACAAGCCCTGACTCAGAAGAGGGATTGTGAGGTTGCAGTTGATAATTTGATGCAACTGTTGATCCAATCTGCAGCTGTTATAAGAAGACTCATATTTGAGGTTGAGCATACATAAACAAGGAATGAAAAATAGAACTGACAGTATCGTAGTTTATGTTGTCTCTTGTTAAGTTGCATGCAAAAGTACAGCAACCCTAAAAGAGTTTTCAAGGTGAGATATTTAAGAAATGGTTGTACCCGTTCCACTCCTCAGAGAGTTTATTTGACCAAGCAGGGATTTGAACCCATGTCTCCTAGTCCAGCACTCTATTCACTAACCTAAACCATGCTGACTCTGCCAGTATCATACTGCCTTTATATAAATGTGTGGAATAAGCACATTTG